GAGGGCATGCGGTCCCGCATAAACGGTGCAGAGATGACGCAGCGGCCGCGTGGGGGACTGGTGGCAGCGCGCCGCATCCAGCAGGTCCTCCCAGCAGATGTGCTCGTGGAAGGTCTGCAGGTCCAGCAGCACCGTCGCCATGCTGGCCCTGATGGCGTCGTTGAACGCCGCAAGCACGCCGAGCACCCATCCTGCGCGCTCACATGTGGTGGACGAGCTCGAGCCCCGAAAGAACTCTTCCCTGTGGTCCTCCTCCCACGCCCGGCGGACTCCTTGCCGCATCTTGCTCAGCAGCTTGGGGAACAAGGAGGGGAGGCCTGTGAGCCTAACACCCCTCTATTGCTTGTCCAGGAACATGATGTTCTTGAGCCACTCCCCCAGCAAGATCGGCTGATTCTCGAAGCGCATGATGATGTCCAGGAACATCTGCTGCGCAGATTCTGGGACTAAGATTCACCTAGGATGCAAACGGTCCCACCCCAGTCCTGCCGCAGGCGCATAGCAGCGGCATGCCCGACGCATATCCTCAAGAGTCAGGTCGGGCAGGACGTCATCTGCTTCCCAAGCCGTGGGCGACTGCTCCCCTCGACCCTTTATGAGGAGGAGGAGGAGGAGAAGGAGGAGGAGGACGAGGAGGAGGGGGCGGAGGAGGAGGAGGAGGAAAAGTAGGAGAAGGAGGAGGAGCCCAGCCCCTTGGCGACTCGAGGACATCGCACTGGAAGTGTCCCTCTCAACTTTCGGCTCGGGGCGGGGGGGGGGGGGCGCCTCCGGGCCTCCCGTGCCCGTCCACATGTTCTGCAGTGTCTCCTGGGGATCGAGTCGAGAGGCCTTCCTCCTCCTCCTGGGGCTCCTCCTCCTCCTCCTCTTCCTCCTCCTGCTCTTCCTCCTCCTCCTCCTCCTCCTCCTCATCCTGTTGTCGGGAGCCTTGAGACGGGGGTCAGTGCAAACGGGGGTCAGCCAGAGCGGCTGATCTGGCTGGATCCTGCAGAACCAGGGGCGCACTGACCTGGGCTTGGGTGCAGCATTCTGCCGGTTCCTGCAGGATCCGGCAAGGCCTGACTGACCCGGGTTTGGATCGACCCGGGTCAGTAGATCCCCGATCTTGGGGCTAGCGATTTGAGAAGAAATCAGGCCAGAGGTTGGGGGAGAAGGCAAACGTCAGAGTTGACGACAAGTTTGACGGTAGTTTGGGGGGCTCTATTGGGTCCGAGGGGGTTTTGGGGAGGATGACAGCGAGGAAGAGAAGACTATGGAGGAGATGAAGGAGTAGGAGGAGCAGGAGGAGTAGGAGAAGGAGGAGGAGGAGGAGGAAGGAGGAGGCACGGTCTCACGAGCATCCTCACGAGGCCCAGGAGTCCGCAGGGGCTCCAATATGGCGCGTGAGGTTGGGGACACCTTCCCCCAGGCTCACCTCGCGCAGCTCCATCGGGAGTAGGACTCAGGACGGAACTTGCCTTGAAAACCTTCCTCTTGCCCAGGTCCTAGGCAATAGGCGTGGTTTGGCAGCAGTGCCTCTGCAGTTTGCCGCCATGACCCAGGCAGGGCAGTTATCCGAGCAGGCGTTCGTGCGAACACCTCGGGGTCGGCCCGGGGCCCCGGAACTTCCATGAGGCCACCCTGTGGCCGTCGCATCTTTTGCAGGGCTTGCTGCCCCGCTCCAGAGTGCGTCCGTGCCGCCAAGTGGGTGGGCAGGAGGTGGTGCGGGGTGCGCATTGGCTGTCAGAAGCGTTCGATCGAGAGCGAGGCATGGGGACAAGAGCAGGTGGACGGGTCATGGGCGGGAAGAGGACAGATGCGCGGTGCCCCAAGCGGCACGGGCGTGGCACCCAGTGGACATCATCAAGCTCACGTTCGATGGCCTTCACATCTTGCAGAGCAAGCCCGTCGTGGAGGTGAAAGTGGAGATCAAGCTCATCAACAAGGCGCCGCGGGAGCCTGCGCTGTTGCTCGCCTGGATCATCGGGAAGCTGCTCCTCCTTCTGAACCTACTCTTTGTCCCAAGCGTGTTGCTCCTCTTCCTTGTCTCGGCGGCAAGCGAGGCGGGGAAGTGAGAAGGGGCGGGCCTTCTCGGAAGGCTCGGAAGCCCCCCGGCCTTCCGAGAAGCTCTCCCGGCCTCCCCCGAAGACGAGAAGCTTCTCGGAAGGCGCGAGGGCCTCTCAGAAGTCCCGCCGCCCTGGGAGAAGGCCTTCTCCCTCTCACTTCCTCCCCTCGCTCGCCGCCGATTCCCCTCTCTACTCCTCTTCCCTTTCTCAAGGGCTCCCAGGAGGGCGCGAAGTTATTCGCGCTTCGCGCTTCGCCGTCCTCCTTCCTCCTCCCCCTCCTCCTCGTCCTCCTCTTCTCCTCCTTGGGGGGCGGCGCGAGAGCGCGAAGTTATTCGCGCTTCGCGCAGCGCGAAGCGCGAACTTAGGAGCCCTTGTTTCTGTGCTTTCCCTCCTGGGGACTGTTCTTTTGTTCAGACTGTTCCCGTAACGTCCGCTGTGCGGGGGTCGCCCTCCCTTGCTCACCCCCTCTCCCCCGCCGTAACGGCACGGTAGGTTCGCGTCGTGTCGACCAGCGGCGACCTTGCCGCTGGCGTTGAACGTTGCATTCCGCCGGCGACCCAGAATCGGTCGACGTTGAAAGATCCGACGTTTCGGAAATGGCCGATCTTTGAAGGTTGAACAGTCTCGCGGTGTCAGGAACAGACTTAAGTCGGGCCTGTCCCCCTACAGGGGGATTTTCGACTGAAAATAAAACATACCCCAAGCATAGCCAAAACATAGTCCAAAAATAGTCTGGGGATTATTTTTTGAGTATTTTTGACCTTTTTGGTGCATTTTGGGGGATTTTTCATTTTTCGTCGAAAATCCCCCTGTAGGGGGACACGCCCGACATAAGAACAGACGCCAGGGTCGACTCGACGACACGCGCCTGTCGGAACGAAGCTCGCGGGGGGGGGGGGGGCGGCCCCCCCGGAGGCATGGCGCCGTGCTCGGGCATGGTGTGGTGATGACAGGCATCGGAGGGCCTCCAGACGCCTCCAGAGGCGGCCGCCGTCCTCGTCGCCGTCGTCCTCGTCCTCGTCCTCGTCCTTGTCGTCGTCGTCGTCGTCATCCTCGTCCTCGTCCTCGTCCTCGTCGTCGTCCTCGTCCTCGTCCTCGTCCTCGTCCTCGTCCTTGTCGTCGTCGTCGTCGTCGTGGTCGTGGTCGTCCTCCTCGCCGTCCTTTCCGTCGTCGTCGTCGCCGTCGTCGCCGTCGTCGTCGTCGTCGTCGTGATCGTCGTCGTCGTGGTTGTCGTCGTCGTCGTGATCGTCATCGTCGTCGTCGTCGTCCAGGCGCCCGGGGCCCGCCGCCCCCCGAGGCCCGAAGACGTGACTGCCGCCCCCCCCTCCGCGGGCCCCCGCCCCCTGTGGCGGACGCTGCGGTTGGTCAAGGCGGGCCCGTCCCTCTACAGGAGGAATGTTCAAAAACAGTCAGAGAAAGAAAGAAACAGTCTGGGGACGATCGTTCGACCCTGTTTGATCATGTTGGTGCACCGTTTACAATTTTTTCATCCCGGATCCGCCTGTAGGGGGACATGCCCGACCTAAGGCTACGGCGAGGGAGCATTAAAAAAGATCCCAGAGATCCAACGCATTGAAAAAGTGAAGGCGGAGGCGTTTCGCAGGTTTCGGCCTCCAGGGGCCCTCGCCTGGCCCCTGGGCCGTCAAAGGACGGCTCTGGAGGAAGAACCGGTCCCGGGGAATGGGTCGAGACGTCCGGGACGACGACCAAAAATCGTGGAGTTCAATTCTCTCGGGACCTCGCGAGCGAAGTGAACTCCACCTCCTCCTTTAGAAATCGTGAGGTGGCGGGGTAGGGTTCGCGGTTCGCATGTGGCCTCTGGACTCGGGAGTCTCCTGGTCGTCTCGTCATCTCAGTCTCCAGGAGTCCCCTCCGTCCGACGATGAAACAAAAACGGCATAAATACGATTTGTTTTGGAGACTGGCGCCGCCCCTGGCGCGCTCGGAGGGGGGTCAAGCGCGGATCCACGAAATCCGCGAGGAGTTTATAAACAGTTTATGGTCATGTTGCTTGTTGTTCCTCTATCCATCCTTTCTTGTCCTTTCCCTGTTCCTCCAAGTTGTCGTTACTCCTCCTCCGCCCCCCCTCCTCCTCCGCATACTCAGATCCAGATCCACCTACTCTGCACCCTCCCTGCCTCCGCTCTGCTTGTCGGGCCCCCCTCCCTCATCCTCTGTGGCGCACAGGATACTCCCAGGAAGCATTTAAGAACCCCCCCGGCGATATCGTAGCACCGCATTTTTTATTCGATATTCCGAGGGGCCGAAATAACCGAACGATAGCTTCAGCACGCGGACACACGGAGGGCTCCTGGTGCCAGGTAACGCTTCCAGGGTGCGGAAGGGTTATCGATTTGCCGGAGGGGGGGGGGGTTCTCAAATGCTTCCTGGGTACTCCAGGAGAATCGCTGGCCCATCCTCCCTCGAGGTACTCACGCCTCCCTTCACCTCTCTCCTGCTCGCCGCCTGGCTGCTCGCCCCGGCGCTGCTGGCCCTCGGTGGGCCCGCCGGGGCTCGCCTGCACGCGGCGCGCCCGTGCTGTCGCGAGCCCAGCGGCGCGAGCGGCCGCGAGCACTGGGCCTCCCTGTGGCCCGTGTGCGCGTTGTCCGCGCCCGCGTGCCGCGTGCGGTAGGTTCGCGTCGTGTCGACCGGCGGCGACCCCGCCGCCGACGTTCAACGTTGAGCGCCGACGGCGGCCCAGAATCGGTCGATGTTGAACGATCGGACGTTGCGGAGACGGCCGATCGTTCAAGGTTGAACGATCCAGCGCGGTGTCAGGAACCAACGCCAGGGTCGTCACGACACGAACCTGACGTGCTGGGGCTCCGGCGCCTGGCGCGGGCGGCCCGCGCCGCGGTCGTGGCGGGCGCGGCGGGCTGCGCGGCGTTCGCCCTGGCTTTCGTCGCGCGCAGTACTCTCGGCTGGCCAGGCGCCGGGCCGGTGCCCGCGGCGCTCGAGGGGAGTCTTGGCCTCGGCGTCCTGGTGGCTTTGCTCGCCGCGGCGGCGGTGACCTGCTGCGGGACGTGGGGCCTGCTGGCCGCCGCCGCGCGCGCGGCGCGCTCCGGGCGCGCCTGGGCGGCGCAGGCGGCGCGCTGGGTGGCCGGGGCGGCCGCGCTGGTCGTGGCGTCGTGCCCGCTGGCTCTGGCGGAGGGGCTCCTCCTGGCCGAGGCCGCTCGCACCACTGAGCAAGATTCAGGGCTCGCCTTGTCCTGGGGCCTAGCCGTCAACGACGGTTCGAACTGCCTGCAGGTGGTCGTCCTCTGCGGTCGCTGCGGCACTTGGCGGTGCAGGCCTGCGAGCGCATCAACTGCTACAGCGCCCAGGAGCTGCAGGTGTGCTACGAGGAGTTTCTGGTCTACCTCGACGACGCTCAGGTCAAGTGGGTTCGATTCGGATACCTTCGGCGGCTTGCTGAGTCTGGATCCATCATGGCGCGCTGCCAGGATGTGCCCGCTGATGAGGCCGTCATCGGCCGCTCGGGGTTTCCGGGCGACAGGGGTGATCCCAAGCACAGGTTCGTCCTGTCGCACCCTTGGCTGTCGAAGAAAAATCCGGATCCTAGCGGAGCGAAGCTGCAGATGTTGGTGCGACAGTTGGACCTGCTGGGCGCATCCGACGATGACGACGCCTTCGTTTTCATTGATTTCATGGGCCTTCCGCAGCACGACACATCGGACCCAGATTTCGAGAATCTGGAGCAGGCAGACAATTGGCCCAAGCCTGGTGAGCACCGCGCAGTTCGCACAGAGGCGGAGGAGGCGCTTTTCACGAAGGCCTTGAGCTCGATGGAACTCATTTACAGCATGAGCAACACTCCCGTCATCATGTTTCCCATGGACGGCGAGGTCGCTGCTGGCTCGGAGTACCCCTCGCGAGGGTGGTGCTTCTTCGAGTTCTGTCTCGCGCTCAGCTTCGGCAACATAGCGAACGCTGCAATACATCCGCCCGTGGGCCAGATGTGCAGGAAGGGTGCCAGTCTGCGAGTAGACACAGTCGAGTGCTTCCGGAAAGGCTTCAGGACAACCCGCTTCGCCAGCAAGGACGACGCGGCAGTGGTCAACACGCTTTTCGAGCAGACCCTGCGTGTAAGAAGTCGAGCCAGTGACAAGCCTGGGGCTGGCCCGCAAGAAGGGCGGCGCACTTGCAGCGCGGGGCGGACATCGGCATGGCAAGGCTGGGCAACGACGGCGTAGCAGAGGCAATGATGACGGTGGTGATGACGGGAATGAGTGTAATATATGCCGTGGTGGCGGAGGCCCAGGCCATGGGGCCAGGACACCCTTCCGGCGGCCTGCAACCTGATGTGGCACCAGCTCGCTCCCTCCCGAGAGGAGGCTCGAGGCGCGCTCGAGGCAAAACGTGTTCTGAGCTTATTCCGGATTTGTCTCGGGTGGAAAATCATTCTGGCCAATCGGGAACAGGGCCGCCTGGCCGCGCGCCCACAGAGCCCGGGCGCCGCCGGCGGCACTCCTCGGCCGCCGCCGCGGCGCCGGGCGCTCGCGCGCGCGGGCGGGCTCGCGGCCCCCCCCCCGCGACGGCCGGCGGCGGCGGGCTCGGCAGCGGCCCCGGACCTCCTCGGTGTACAGCTAGGGGGCCTCTTGCAAACCCTACCCCTACCCCCCACGATTCCTGAGGGGGAGGGTGGGGTTCACTTCGCTCGGGAGCTCCCGCACGAAGTGAACCCCACCCCCCCCCTCAGAAATCGTGGGGGGGTAGGGGTAGGGTTCGCATGTGGCCCCCTACCAGCCGGACCGAGGTAGACCCTCCTAACTCCGCCGTGCGCCCCGTTTCGTCCGCGCGTCAAGAAGGGTCTAGGGCCTCCTAGATGGGGTCCGATGAGACGGGGTCGGAGGCTCGCGCCGCATCGTCGACGTATCGGCGACGTGGCTCGATGCGGCGCCATCTTTGCTTCACGTCGACGTCGCCGATGCATCGCCGACGTCGCCGTTGCATCGACGATGCATCGCCGACGTATCGACGATGCGGCGGCCAGCGGGAGCGGCCCCAGACCCTCTCGGGGTACAGTCGGACCGAGGTATACCTTCTGAATTCCACCTTGCGCCCTCGGCCCCGGCTTTTCATCTTGAGTCGTTTTGTTGACGGTCCCGGGGCCAGGTACTCGTAATCCTTTGGTAAACGTCCCCTCTTAAAAAACTTGACCCTCCTTCAATTGCAGCTTAATTTCCTGGATCCCCCTAAAAGGGAGGAGCCTTAATATTCTGGACCCCCCTTCCGAAGTTGCATGTGTAATTCATGGTGTTGGCCGCGAGGGTGAAATCGACGGCGGCGGATCGCGCTGCGAACGTGGAGGGTGATACACAAACCTTGTCGAACGAAGCCATTGATAAGAAAATTGCGGCAAGCGACGATCGCGGTGTGATCCAGACGGCCAGTATCATAAGAATGTGAGTCATGATATGGGTGATGACGCAACGACTGGAGACAGCAATGATACTGAACAGCAGCGACGTGGGCTAACAACACCGACACTGGCAGACCTGGTGAACCCGCCAATGTGTTATACACGTGTACACCAAAAAGTATCAACGAAACCGGCACGATCTTTATCATTACCGATGAGGTGATGATGACGATGATGAGGAGGACGACGATGGTGATGGATTATGGCGGAGATCATGGTGATGTTGTTGGCGGTGGCCACGGCGATTGTGGTGATTCATGGCGACGGTAACGCAGCGACGCTAATCATCACTATGGCTATGAGCATGATGATGATCACGACGACGCTGCCGATGCCGATGTTGATGACTATGACGATGACGATGACGACGACGACGATGATGATGCTGATGATGAGGATGAGGATGAGGATGAGGATGACGACGACGACGACGACGACGACGACGACGACGACGACGACGACGACGACGACGATGATGATGATGATGATGATGATGATGATGATGATGGTGGTGGTGGTGGTGATGCTGCTGCTGCTGCTGGTGCTGCTGCCGAAAGTCGGTGGCCACGAAAACGAAGCCGCACGAACATCCGCATAAGATTGAGCAGAATACAAAGTACGCGAAGTCACCCTAATAAACCGGACCCTCCGAAGCTTCGATTCATTTGAAAAACCGAACGGGACCCCCATGCTTCACAAAATGTGCCTTGAAAAACCGGACTTGGGGGACGTTAGTTAGGGGATTACGAGCAAGGGCCCCCGGAGGCCGAGAATTTCGAAAATCGCTTGCGCGTAAGAGAGACCCGTCGTCGGAGTGACCTTTGGTGCGGGCTCATCGGTGTCCCCCCGATCGCTGAACGCGATGCGATAGCGGCTGCTTGCGCGCTTGGATCTGGTCATCTTGCGCCCCCATCGTCCGCTCATCAAAGTTCACTCTTGCCCAGGGTCGCTCTTCCGTGTAGCAGACGAGAACAGTTCCCCGTCGTGAACTTTGTCACAACGCCAGGGGGTCTGGGTCTCTGGGCGAATCGGCGGCGAGCGAGGGGGGAAGTGATAAGGAGAAGGCCCTCTCATAAGGCGGCCCGACTTCTCAGAAGCCCTCGCGCCTTCTGGGAGGTTTTTGGTGTCCCCCGGGAAGGTGCAGAACACTTCTCAGAAGGCGACCAGGGGATTTCCGATCCTTCCGAGGAGGCCTTCTCCTTCTCGCTTCCCCACCTCGCTCGCCGCCGACAGAAGGAAGAGGAGACAGATGATGGGGGGCGAGCGGGGGTTGAGGATGAGGATCCAGCTCCCTCTGCTGACCCATGCGAGGCACAGCGCAGGCGATGAAGTCCCGCCGCCTCCTGCGAAGGCCTTCTCCTCCTCGCCTCCCCCCCCGCGCGCTCGCCGCCGAGCGAGCCGCATCCCTCCCCCCTTCCCGGGTGCCGCGCGCGCTGTCGGCTTCGGCGGCGCGGCCGGCGCAGCCCGCCCCCCCACCCCTCTAGGACTCCTAGATGGGGTCCCGAGTAGATGGGGTCGCAGGATCGCGCCGCATCGCCGATGCATCGGCCATGCGGCTCGATGCTGAGCCCGATTATGTCCACGCCGACGTCGCCGATGCGTCGCTGGCGTCGGCGATGCATCGCCGATGCATCGCCGATGTATCATCGATGCGACGCCATCCTCCTCCTCCTCCTCCTCCTCCTCCTCCTCCTCCTCCCTCCTCCTCCCTCCCCTCCCTCCTCCTCCTCCTCCTCCTCCTCCTCCTCCTCCTCCTCCCTCCTCCTCCTCCTCCTCCTCCTCTCCTCCTCCTCCTCCTCCCTCCTCCTCCTCCTCCCTCCTCTCCTCCTCCTCCTCCTCCTCCTCCTCCTCCTCCCTCCTCCTCCCTCCTCCGACCCCATCTGGGAGGCCTCTAGCCCCCCACCCCTCTTCCAGCGGGCCTTCGCCGCTGGGCGGGGGGGGGAACAGGTCGTTCGGCCGCAAATCATTCAGGAGGAAAAGAAACACACAGACACAATTGATCGTCGATTCCCAGGAAAATATGGGAAATCTGGGAAGTGGGGGGGAAGACAGAAACCCAGAAAATATAGGAAAATATGGGAATCGTTTTATTTGTGTGTATTTATTTGTGTGTCCTGGGGCCCCTTCAATCATGGGAGCCTGATGCAGTGGAGGCCCAAACACCCTGCTTGCCTCCAGGGTGCCCTGGGTTTCGATGGTTTCGATGGTTTTGGCGACGGAAGGCGTGACGTTCCCACACCAAAAGTCGATGGACGCCCTGGGGTCTCGGGGTTGGGTTTCTTGTGGAAGGTTTCTTGTGGACTGGCCCCTACTGCGTTCGAATAAGAAAAGTCGCCATAAACATAAACTTTTGGCGCTCCGCGCGGATTTCTTCAATCCGCGTTGGGGGCCCCTGGCGGCGCCTCCGGCGCCGTCCCTGGCGTCCTCCGCGCGACAGGGGGGGGGTCCAGCGCAGATCCAAGAAATTTGCGCGGAGCGCCAAAAGTTTATGTTTATGGCAGTTTCTTTGTTTCTTCTAGGTCTACCCTCTCAAGTCCGTCTTTAGCCGCTGTTGGCGTCGATTAGCGTCTACGAGTCGATGAGATAGCGCTAGCGTGGATTTATCCTCGATCAGCATCAACTGGTGTCGATCGGCGTCTATTCGCAAGAGCCGACGAAATCCTATGTGAGGAGGCTCCCATGAGTTGCCACCGGAAGTTGTACAGAATGTGCGGTCAGAAAATCTGGTATAGCATATCGGCCTCGGCGCGACATGCTATCACTCGGAGGAGGACAGGGCACCCATACCCATACGCTTCGCCCGATCGATTTCCCCGGTTTCGCCCTCTTGGGAGGCCCTCGTCGCCACCGCTGGATTCGCCTCGAGATCCTGGTCAGAACGCACCCCAGGAGAGGTCCGGGGAGCAGCGGTATCGGTACCTTCTGATTCCCCTTGTCCACAGGCGTCAAGGCCTCGAGCCTTTTCCCATCCCCCCGGCCCCGTGGAGCGGGGCGACGCGCGATCCCCTTGCGAGGCATGGCGTGTCGCGAGAGTCGCCGCCGCGGCACGCTGTGCAAAAGTTCCTGACCGTAGTAGGAAGCACCAGGCACCCTCCCAGAGGGAGGGGCGCGCTGCATTCGGACCGAGGTATTGAGATCGGGGTCGGTTCGAGGAGGGTATCCTGATGTTCTCCGTGTATGCTGTTTGCTGGATGGTTTTTGTTGCACCCTGCGGGGGGTACCCTTGGATGCTCTGTGTGTTTTGGCTGGCGGAGGGTCCCATGTTCCTGAGGGATGTTCTTCTGCCGGGGAGTGCGGCAATGTCTGGTGATGGCCACGTTCACTGTTCAAGGAAGCGTTTCTAGGAATTCTGTCGAAGCTTTTGTAAGGGTCTACTGACCGACCGCACCTTAATATGATCAAACGCGACGTGCGCGCCGAGGTCAGGCTGGCCACAGGAAACAAAAAAAACATGAGGGGGCTTGATAACGGCCCCAGACCCCCTCGGGGAATGAAAAAATCAGGGCGGGAGGTGTTTCGCTACTTTCGGCCTCCGAGGGCCCTGACTGGGCCCCGGGGCTGTCAAAAAACGACTCTGGATGCTAAGCCGGTCCCGGGGAATGGGGGGGTCGAGACCTCTGGGGGTCGACG